TCTTTCTTCTTCAACTTTATACATTGCTTTCTAGTAGAAGATTAATTTAATATAAGATACCAACGAGATATTTTTAACTTAATCACGATAATAGCTGTTATACAGTTTTAATTTTAGTTTGAACTTCGATAACTCAAAGCTCGATGAATAAAACATTTGTTGATTTTCCTGTATTGCTCTCATTATGATGCGATTGTTCTCTTTATCATTTCAATATCTAAACAACCGTTTAAGCATTCAAAGAAGTTCGCCTTCGCGTTCGAAATGACATTAGCTTAAATTAAAACCTGAGTTAACACAGTTACAGTAGCGGTTTACTTAATTTTCGACCCATAAAAGTAAAATTTGTGTCTCTTGAAGTCTGCGCGTAGAACTCTGCGTTTAATTGAGGTTTCCAAGTTAGTGAAACTATTCCTATTTTTATGCTATCTATAATGAATCTTAATTGAATGATGCACTTCTCAAACATCTCATTGATAGTCTTTAACCAGTATTATTATTTTGCGAATCCGTTGGTGTATTGTTGAATCGTCTATATAGGTACTTACACATGTATGATAGTAAGACAGAATCACTGAGATTGTACGAAGTACAGAATGTCAGTGACAGGCCGTGTGGAATTTCGAACGATGTGCGTGTTCCGGGTGACGAACGCGCAAACGCGTGACCACGTCCATGAGAACTTACCATTAATCTGGGTTCTTAACCGCGCGCGCGGCTAGGTAGTAAACGTGGCCATAGAGTGTCATCCAACGTACACGCACAATACACCGGCCGAATGACAATAATAATAAGAGTGCGTAATTCATCGGTGTGGACTCGACGTCACCGTTCGCCGAATGACGTACGCGTGGCCGTCGACGTCGGTCTCCGCGGATTAGAAATAGAAAAGAAAGATTATTCTTTTGAATGATGCTGTAACAGCGTATGCGTATATAAGAAAAAGATGCGAGGATGTAGAAAAGGGAGTTAAAAAGCCATCCGGCGGCCCCCGGTGGCCCTAGTTCATGTGTATGTACACGGTGAAACGGAGAACCCAGTGTAACTGCCCCCTCGCGGTGCGCGTCCTAACCCAACCACTCCTGCCATCTCGAGTTCTTACCTCCTGTGCCTCTCGCCTGTCTCTCTCATTCTCTCTTACATGTCCACCGTCCTGTCTTTCTTGGTCGGTCGCCCTCTCTATAGCCACCCGTAACTCCCCGCCCTTCCGTCGACCCCCTCGGCTTGGTTCTACCACCATTTTGTCGTGATTCCTCTAGCTCTAAACATATATCGCACATTTTGCTCGCACAGTGTTATTGACATTTACGCAGAAATCGTACGCGATATCGTGCCTATGGTTGACACACTGTCCAACAGCTCAAACAGCAAACACGACTATGGGGCTCCACCATAGGCTATCCTGGAAGGTGTCACTTCTATCTCTTTCTATCCTGTACTGGTCTCTTTCGTTTTCTTCCTCTTTCCCTCCCCCATACGTGTCTCTCTCGCTCTCTCGCTCCTTCACACACTATATCCCTTACGTCTTCTTCTCCCTTTTTCCATGTTAGTCTCTCTCTCTCCCTCTCTCTCTCTATTGTATGTGTGTCCATCTCTAAGTTTCCTGGCTGAATTATATTATTGTAAATTTGTGGTCTTTTAAGTAATAACATGCGACACCCGTCAGCAGGTATTTCATACGCCGGTACAATCTCTATTCCGAGTTGTAACCTCTTAACGATGTAACGAACCCGATTCACCATCATTTCGCGTTTGCGATATTTTTCTTCCATGTTGTTTTTATTTCTAGCTGCTTGCATTACAAATTTCGATCTTGAACAATCTACGGTACGATAGTTCTCATAATGCGTGTTCCGAAATCTCGATCAGTGTCATAAGAAACTGTTTTCTAGCTTATATTTCCCAAGAAAACAACTTGCAAATATGTATGCGTCGTTATTTTATATTTATATATTTTATTTATTGCATTTTCAGATGTCTGCTGGGTCACAAATTCAGATGGCACCTCAATCAACTGTAAACTCTGGTCAGTCAGTTCATAGTCAAGACTCGAACATGAGCACTGGTAAGACAACATTGCCATTTAATGTCAAAAATCTTCAAACACTTGTTCAGAAGCTGTTTCAATAAAGTTTATGAGTCTAACTGCAACTGTGGTTCTAATCAATGGGTCCATTACAGGCTCATCTCATAGTGATAAGGAGGTAGATCCGAATACTCCAGAAAAGGTACCAAGAACCCCATCGGAAAGAAAGAGAAAACGTAAAGCAGATGACAGTGGTGGAGGGGTTGTTGGTGCTCCTGTAGGCAGCAAAGGTTCCCGATCTCTAGCTGCCCTTGAGAACAAGAAAATAAATGAATACTTTCCAAAGCATCATCTGGGCAGCAGTCCCATTCGACATGGAGGTGCCAAAAGTCCTTCACCCCAACAAGGCTATCCCATGGTAATATAAATTCATACATCATATTGTCCTAGAATCTGTTATTGTCAAACTTTTGTTAATCTATATGCTCAAGTTGGTTCTTTCAATATCTGAGTTCATTTATGGAGTAATTGAAACTTTGTAGCTGGTTAAATCAAGGCTTTGTGAACCTCATGTAAATATTTTAAATAATCATTGTTTAAAGTTTGATATAATTACACGCGAGATACAGGAGTTCGCGCTTTGTTGCAAGTGTTAATAATTATATCTTATAAAGGACATTTAAGAAGACTTTCATCATTTGTGCAATAATAGTAAATATATCTGTAGAGACATTTGCAAAGGTGTAATTCAGAGTTAAGTCTCGTTCACACTGAGTCTGCCGATATACTTCTGCGAACTGTCCGCATAGTCTCTTGGATTTGTTTCTTGTGTTCCATCTTCATCCGGTAGATAATCTACGCGAACAGTTCATAAACGGTGGAACACAGAATACAAATCCTAGAGAGTCCGCGGACAGCCCGTGGAGAGATGTCTGTAGACAGTTGTCTGTCAATCTGGGCTAAGTTTTATGTTTCAGTTGTTTATTTAGTATCTCGTTCTCAGGAAGCTACCTTGCTTTCTTGTCAAGGGTACTACCTTAATTCGAATAATAATTATCTGATATATCGGTTTCTTTCTCTTATTTTTCTTACAAATTGTTACTGTCATTAAAAGAAGGAAATTTGTCTCAAATATGTAGAGAAGACGAAAATGGAAAAGCACTGATTAATATAAAAAATTGTGGACTCATGTTTTAAGCGATATTCATAATATATACTAATGAAAAAAATCATTAACAACATGTCTGGTGCTAAAGATATCTAAGTGTACGTGACTTTCTATAAGATTATTGTTCAGTTTACAAAGAAATTATCTCTATACCATCAAATTGAATATTCTGTGACTTTCTGTGATACGTTTGGTCGTACTAGTATGCAGCGCAATTATTACGATCTTTATAAACAGTATCCACCGTCGCCGCAACAACTCATGTCACCACAAGTAACGACACCGAACTCCTCGGTGGCGGAGTTCTCGTCGTTGATGCAACCACCTAGACCGCATCCTCAGCCGCCGCCGCCACCTCTCCCGGCTACAACGCAACCTGCGGGTTCGATGGTCAGTAAGCAGGTGCAGGTAAGGCCCAACAACCTCGGTAGGACAGGCCAGATCAGGCAAGCGAAGACTAACACCCCAAATGTAAGGATACTACTCGGTTAAACCTCCTGCAAGCATCTTATAAGAAGCAAACTAATAATGTAATACAATCTTCATTTAATAAGAAAATTAGCAGCTTATACTTATTAAACTTACAGGATTTACATCTGTAAACATTATGTTCTTCGTAAGGATTATAGTCCTTATCTCTATCTAAATTCGTCTTTAGTTTTATGGAAATTGTGTTCGAGACCCATTTGATCTAGGCTCGTAATTCTTTGAAAAGTACAGAAGAATAATCTAATTATAATTGCTTTTATAGTTCAAGAATCTATTT